TCTGAGCACATCCTTTTAAGCATTAGCTTGAGAGTCCCATTAAAACGTTCTACAAGACCGTTGCACATGGGGTGGTAGGGCGTTGACAGCAGATGTCTAACTGATAACAGCTCTGTCACCTCCCGCATCAGGTCTGATGTAAAACTACGACCCCTGTCAGACAAAATTTCTCGTGGGAGGCCTACTCTTGAGAACATTTCGAGTAACCCTTCCGCCACTGTAAGCGAGTCGATACTCTTCAAGGGTGTAGCGTCGGGGTATCGGGTGGCAAAATCCACCATTGTCAGTACATACCGATAACCTCCCCCAGCCGTTGGAGGAAACGGACCAACTATATCAATGGCCACTCGTTCGAAAGGCGTGTCGATGATAGGCATGTTTCTCAGCGGCGCCTTTCCTACTGTTCCCTTTGGGATTGTTCGCTGGCACATGTCGCATGAACTGACATACCTCTTGATATCGGCCTGGGCACCGGGCCAATAAAAGGTTGCCAGCACCCGGTCAGTTGTCCGTTTCACACCTTGGTGTCCGGCCAAAGCAATATCGTGCGCCACTTGTAGCACCTTGCTACGCAGCATCTTCGGCACCACCACCTGATGTATTTCTCGGCCCGTTGATAATCTGCAGCAGCGCATTATAAGCCCTTTTTTCTCGTAAAAGTTTATTCTGTTTCCTCCCTTCGTCACGTGCACCGTGCCTATTTGTTTTCTACATATCTCCAACGTTGGATCTTCCACCTGAAGTTTCTTTAGCACATCCCTGGTGATCCGTTCGCCCCCAACGTTACTAAGTTGGTCTAATCTACTCGACCTACGGCCGTCGACGGCAGCGACGACTTCGCCTTCTGCGTCAGCCACCCCCTTCAGGGTTTGCTCGGTCGAGTCTTTTGCTCCATGAATATTCCCCACGATAACGTCATACAGAGGCCGGTCCATACACTTGGCGGTTACCTGTCCCGTTAGGAACGGCGACACAAGGTGAATGTTTGCCTCTGGCAACATCAGACACGTCCCGTCTACTAAGAATACGGGACTGATTCTGCCAGTAAAATCTTCACGTGCGACCAGTTCCCGGCGCACTATCACGGTGTTACTCCCGGTGTCCCTCAACACCTTTACTGCTTTGCCGTTTAATATCCCATCTGTGATCGGCATACCTTCCGACAGAATTGGTCTCGCCTTTTCAGTCATATCCATGGGGGACGTTCTGAAGGCGTTTGTTGAGATCTTCTTCTTTCCCCGTAAGAACGCGTTCGTCTTATCAACCGGATCATCGTCGGGTTTCGCGAAGCACGAAACTTCTGTCTTTCCGTTCTTTCCTCGCGGACATGATCTGGACTCGTGGCCTGATCTCTGACACACTTGACAGAACCCGTGTGTTTTTGGGTTTGATCGACAATCTGTTGCCTTGTGGCCCAACTTACCACACAAAAAACATTTTACCTTTAGAGCGGGTTTGCTGCCCTGCGCATCTTCCTTCAGGGAATCTAAGGTTACTTTTGCCCCCCTCCTGAAATTGGCCAGATTAGGCTGGCTCTGCGCCTCCAGGAAGTGGTCCGCCATTTCAGCCAACGCCGAGACGGTCTTACAGCTTCTTTCCTTTAAGAAGACCGCGAGCCTCGGATGACAATTCCGAAGAAATTGCTCCCCAATCATCTGGTCACGAACCCCTTCATACGTTTTTGGGCATTCGTTCATAGTGACCCAGCGGTCGAAGAACCCCTCTAGTCTCGCAGCAAACTGGCTCCCTGTCTCTCCGTCCAACGGCTTGCTCTCTCTAAATTTCTCGCGGTACCCTTCTGCCGTGTACCGAAACCACTGGAGCAAAGCCCTCTTCACCTTATCATAATTCACAGAGTCTTCAGGTGACATCCTACCTATGACCTCCAGAGCTGGGCCAACCAGGCACATGCTTAGAGCAGTCGCCCACTTCTCTTGCGGCCAATCTTGCCCCTGCGCTACACGCTCAAATCTCCTCAAATACGAGTCGAGATCGTCCCTTTTGTCATCGAAGGGAGGCATAAGCTTGTGAGGACTAGGAGATAGCGATATAGATGCGCGACGTGACCCTTCACTGCCATCTGCTCGTCCTATCTCGGTTGCGCTAGCCTCTGCAAGACGAATCTTTAGTTCGATAATGCGTTGCTCACTTTCTGCCTTGAGGCGCTGTGCTTCCCTCTCAGCAGCCCTCTCTTCTCGTTGGCGTGCTCGCTCCTCGTCCACCCAAGACCTCAACTCCGCTCCTGCCAGTCCCAACTCAGCGCCTAAAGACATTAACTCTTTAACCTCCATTCTGATTAATTATTGTTATGTAGAAAAACGAAGGAACAGAGTATCTTGTCCTGTCGCGGACGCCAGTTAATTGTCACGGGGTTCTTTGGGGTTAGTAATTGACAAGATTCAATGTCCTTCGTTTTTCTTAAAACATGTATTTACAAAAGAAATCAAAGAGTTCATATGGATATACTAAAAGAAATAGGAAAACTTAGTAAAAAAATGGAAGGAAGGAAAACGCAACCGTCTTTGAGTCACCATGCGCAGCAGCGGGTGTTGTGTCTGGGGCTGTCGTTGTCGGCCGACGGTTGTGGCAGGCAGTCAGGAGCGGGTGCGGTTGGCTTCCGTCGGCGGTCCCAAGAGTCACCGCAACCAGTGCTCGCGCAGCAGGAAGCCGGGCAGCGTAGGTTTCTATGCGCTGCCCTCGCTGGAACAGGCTGCTGGTCAGTAGTAGGAGGCCGCCGATTGCCCTGGCCGATGGTGTCGTTCCGCTCTCAGCACGTTCTCTTCGGCCCGTCTTCTTCCACGCCCTTTCTGGGCCGATCCATGAATTGACTTGCCGTTCTTCTTTTCCATCTTCTTTTCCACATTGAGTCACATCATCACAACAGGTTTCAGAGAATCGCCAGACCAGACTGGTGGTCACTTTAACATTTTGCATCAGAAAACGATGCAAAGTGCACTTTATACTAAGAACATTGAATAGTATGTATTTATCTTTCTTGCTACAATGATCTCTGGCACTTTGCATGCAAGGACAGTAATGGTGGTTTCGACTTTATAATCTGGGAATCGTATGGTCAAGCGAACCTCCATTGTTTCCCTTATATCTAGTTTACGTTCAGCCACTGCTGCCTATAGACAGTAAAACCCGTCTAGTATACCTCTGGCATGCAGTGCAAATGCACCCCATTTGTTCCCAAAAGAAATGCTAGATTAAGAGAGAATTGTGGAATGTGTCTGCTACTATGCTCACAAATACAGCAAAACGAACAGCCCCTAGCAGAAAAGCTGCTAACTGGCCAGAACAAGTCGCCTGGAGACTTTTCAGCTTCCTGTGCCTGAAGGCTCTCGCAGTTGCATAATGTCAACTGTGGTAATGCACAATGGTAAATGAATTAAATTGACTTAAATCCCACAATGGTTTGTCTGTTTCTCAATGTGCATCAGCGTGGTGGAGACAGTAGTAGACTGGAAGCCAGGCTATGCTACAATGCTTTAATTTTCTGGTATGAAAAACAGAAAAAGAAAGTTTGAAGGACATGCCCGTCTGCTCGAAGCATTTTGAATGTGATAAACTTCCTGGTAAATCGCACCTACATAACGATGTAAATTAAGGAGCAGAGTGTCAGACACAGGCTTTGTGTACTAGTTAAACTTTGATCCACATCGCTGAAGGGACCATAAGAGCTGCGGCCAGGTTCAATAGGTGCCTTCCCAGAGTTTGCCTAAGAATCAATTACATAGTCGGCAGCTCGTGGCACCCGGGCGGGTCACTGCATTGGTTTGTTTTCTTTGCCATTTTTTATTGCAAGAAACCCTCAAACTCACCGAGGCAGTTGGTCTGATTTTCCGACTATACATAATTTCGGGAAAAAGGGGTTCAGGTAGCCAAGCTTACTGCAGCTTGGGGCATGTGGAGCGAAGTATGACTGATTCTCCAACAATATTTGCTTCTACAGGGTGTTAATGAGCGCTATGCAGTCGTTAAAACAGACATATATATATATATATATAAGCCAGTATACAAGGTGCAATGATACTTTTCTCAAAGGTGTCCCTAGGTGGCGAGTCCATCAGACTTTAAGTTCACGAGTTTCTAGAAAAATAAAGGTTAAAAAAGAAAAGCGTTATTTCTATAGAGAGGACGAAAAACGGGGGAAAAAAACTGTCTGGTGGACACTGCAACTCGGGTGGTGCCACACACAGTCGGATCTGCTTTTGGGTGTTTTTATCAAATATCAAACCGGCAGAAGCGTCCGTCTCAGTGTTGCCGCGTGCTAGTGTCACGCTCGATGTGAGGTGCTGCAACACGTGCCGGCCACGATGCTGATGCAACCTGGGTGGTATTGCCTCGGCACGCTACAACTGAAATTTGCAATCTTTGAACCCGCGATGGACTTTCCAAGGTTAGCTGCACGGCGTGCAAATTCGTCTCGTTTGGTGGTCGTGCACGTTTGCCGGCACGACGAGGTGTCAACTACAGCTGACACCCCCAATGCGGGTAGAAACTGAGGGAGAGGAGGAGACGAGAGCATGTGGGGACGTCGGAACACCGAGCTCTCGTTGGAACAATTAGTGGGTAGGCGCAGAGCTAGCTGCCTTTGTCTCCACTCGCTGTTTCAATGCATTCAAACGCCGAACGCCGGTATCCGACGTTTGCTTTAGCAAAGAATGACACAGGGAGTTTTCGCGAAGGACGACCATGCGATTTCCCTGGGAGCTTCCCATTAACGGCCGTTGCCATGAACAATTCCCCCTCCTGTTCTGTACACCAGCCTTATCGTGGAGGTCAAGCAACTTACATTTTTTTCAGGAACTCTCCAGAAACAATTTTATTACTGAAAGGGCCAGATACAAAAGTAATCTGTGGTCAGTCTTCTCTTTGCAAACAAACATACCTCGGGTAAGTGAGGATGTAAGCCTGCGAGGAACTGGAACCTTCCCACACCCAGTGAGTGAGCCCCATGCAAAGAAAGAGGGGAAGCCATCCCCAAAGGGACTGACCGTGCAATGTCCATGTCCTCCCAGAACTTGGTTGAGACAAAGCAGGCATCCTCCTTCACCTGAAAGGGTCAACGAGGCAACGAGTCAGCTGCACCCTCTTCTATCGACTCCACCGTCCAGCAAGTCCTCTGACCCACTGGTTCTTCGAGGAGAGCGTGGTCGGTGCTCAAATGGTAATTCAAATGCAAATTTGGGGTGGTTTATGTACCAAGCCAACAAAGGGCATCTGGCTTGCCCCAGCGGAGGACTGAGCATTAATTTGGACAGCCCGGGGTTCTTTTGACATGCAACCGAAATCTCGATTACATGGCGCCTTCCCTGCAATGAGCCTGCGTCAAACTGCAAGCACCTCGGCCGGGATTCGAACCCCCCAAATGGGAATCCTTGGATGGCTCCAGCGCTTTGCCCCGGAGCCATCCAAGCTGTTAAAGCGTGGTGCTCACGGGCAGTTTACTCTCTCTCATATTGAGGAAGGGGAGCTGAACATGTGGGTCGTGAAAACATCCTTCAGAACAGTACACCTTTCAAAACAGGGAAACTTTGCTGGACACGAAAGAGTAACAGTGAAGGTCTTGCAGGCATTGTCCTAAACTGTAGCTTTGCTTTTGCCCTTGCAAAACTCCTCAGTTTCTAAACACCTGCTGTACAATGTGCCTACCATTAACTGCATACCTATTCCCCAAATGCGAATAATGAGGTGTCAAATAATAGAAACTGGAATATCAGATGCTGGTATATATAACCTTTGTGACTGGAAGCCCAACAAGTGCAGCTTTTATGGCAACAGCTCCAGCAAAGCAGCAAAACCTTAGCAAACTATACTTTGTTTCATCGTAACTTGCCAAAACTTAAAGCTACAGCCCCCTCGAGCCCATTGGAGCAATGGAATGAAACATGTCAACTCTGCAGGAGGAAAGTACTTCAATGATACATTTTTCACGTGCCTCACACCAATGCACTGGTTATCTAGTTGGGGCAGTAGCCTTTGCTGTTTGCAAAGCTAAGGCTTGTTTCCACATACAGTGCATGCAGTGCTAACCCACCACTAATTCAGCACTAGAAATAGTGCTGAATTTAGAGTTGATGCAGCACTCGCTAATACAGTGTCGATATAACAGGGGCGAGTGGTTTCAGTGGCGCAGTCTCATCTGTCATGCCCGAGTCATTGCAAGGGCGTGTTGCAGTGATCATGATTCTAGTGGCTCACTCCCATTTAAAATAAAAAAAATTAAAAAAAATTAAAGCGCAAAGCTCACTACAATACCATAAATCTTGTCTTTCTTCAAAACAAAGTCATCTCACTGCAACGGCAGACGGAATACGACTCAGGTGCCAAGAACACTCCTATTGTCAGCGTAGAATTTTATGAAATTGATCTTGCCACGGCAAGCAGCCTAGCAGTACTATAAGTTATGGGGAAGAAATCTGTGGCGAGAGGAGGGAATACAGTGCTAAACCAGCATTAAATTTGGCTCTAATTGACCATTTTCGAAAGTCAGTCTACCCACCCTACTTAGAGCCATTAGAGCTTAGAGACAACGCTCTAATGGCAGCACTACACAACTACACCAGAAAAAGTGAACATAATAGTTGCACAACAGAAGAAGAATTCGTGGCCTCACATGTTTGTATAAGATTTTAAATGGTGTAATTGATTCACAAGAGCTACTCAGTCGCATATACTTGCACGTTCCTCGAAGATCTAGTAGACTTGATACTTTGTTTTAACCTACCGATTTTTACCATGCTGCACCCATGACACAACTACAACTCACATACAATCATTTAGAACAAATTTGCGGGAATGTCAGTCTTGATATTTTTTATGAAGAGCGTAAATTTCAAAAGTGTGTTGAGACTATTGTTTTGTCCTAACATTTCATTTTTATCCTATTTAAAAATTTACTACTGTCTCACTGATAAGTGCACCACTAAGGAGGCGTTAAGCTATTGGTGGGTCGCTCAAAATAAAAACAAAATAAAATAACAGAATAATATAATAATAACAACAACAGCAGCAACAGCATAATAACAATAATATAGTAATAATACTATGTTTTCTTTCCTTGAAGTACATACAGAAATTTGGCCCATAAAAGTGATAAATGCTTGTTCTTAGGATCAAGTCAACTGTATAAGACAATATAATTGAGCAGTCCCATGTTAATCCACAGTACACTCGCGGCAAAGTTGTTGGGCATTTACGTCGCATTCACACACTGTGGGGTGTGTGAACAAAAGCGTTAGAAACAAAATGGACACCTGATCATATTGTTACGAACGCTTTTGTTTCTTGTTTGTTCTAGCGCATGTGAAAGCGTGCCTCCCGGCACGATTTCTTGGCATTGAAGATGCTAGAACAAAATTTTGTTATCAACTTTTTAGGGGCGAAGCTCCTTAGGGTCTAGCCTTGTCCATCCGTCCGGCGTTTGTGCTCACATCGATTGCACTGCCTCCGGGACCGGCCCACTTTAAAAAAAAACAATGTATGCCTGCACGAGAGTTCGAACTCAGGACCGCTTGATTACAAGGCAGACGTCTTAACCACTATGCTACACTCCAACGTTGCGTGTAGCCGCTCAACGTCTATACAGGAGAGGGTGCTGCGGTCAAATGTGTATATAATCGCATTAAACTTTGCATGCATTGGCTCAACGTTTATAGACGAGAGTGGGCTGCGGTCAAATGCTAAACTGCGTATATAACCACGTTCCATACCACACATTTTCTTTCCGACATGGACCGTTGACTTAAGCGGTAGAGATGCGTTCCCACAGTTTCTAGCGGATCCAAGCTGATCCGCTAGAAGAACCACTGGCTCTGCATTTCACCAACCATAAAGCGGTAATTGAAGTCGAAACGCAACCCGGAACTCAGCCCTACCTATGAGCAATTAAAAAAAATCAGCACCATCAGCACTACCTATGAACAATAAAATCGGTATCATGAGCACCACCAGAGCTTGACCCCAATCAACATCATTCACCACGTGGAGATGCGGCCTCTTTTCTTCTTTTTCTTAGAAGGGACTTGCAGTAGGCAATGGGTACTACAAAACCATAAGTATGAAGAGGGTTGTTAAAACTGTGGTGTAGTACTGTGGTAACGCCTCCGATTTGCATGCAAAGAATCCGGGTGTGATTCTCGCAGGTGGTAGGCAATCTTTTTCGAGAATTTGGCAGCATCGACGACAGACGCCCTAATACGCCAACTACAACATCAACAATGGATGTCATTTCCAGTGATGGGAAGCGCTCACAAAAAAAGGACTACAATAATAAACATTGCATTAATCAGTAGTAAACACCCGAAAGTATGTGCAGAAAGCGGCTCTTTGGTTCTAACAACTTGGACACCGTACGTCGCCTTCGGTTTGTGAAGTCGAGGGCGCTTAAAGTTGAGCGATCTCGTTTTCCTATCACTGCCATTAGTGCAGAAACAATAGAGCTTTCGAGACTGCCACTAGATAGCTCTGACTTTTTAAAAGAATCTATTACAGCGCCGATTCAGCGTTGCACTGCACGCTTGAATCGGCCTTTACATTTGATTTAAAGTGTGATTTTTCACTGGCCCTCGTAGGTGCCGTAAGACGGCCCCCACCTGGTTCATGACGTAGGTCTCGTCCATGACGTGTAGCTGCCGGTAGGAAACCAGGTCTTTGAGGTGGTTGGTGAGGGCCTTGCCCCCGAGGTTGATGCGGGCCACGCCGGCCTTGCATAGCCGCCCCTTCAGGTAGGGAGCCAGGTGTGTGAAGGAGAAGCCCGTGTCCACCACCAGGCAGGCCAGCTCGCGGGCGTGCTCCCGCCGGTACTTGAGGCAGCTCAGGGCACCCGCTGCGCCGCAATTTGTGAGGGACTCTTTGGTATCGACCGCATCTTGCCGTCACATCTCTAAAGATCGCCTACCCGCCATTTTAGGGTGACGGCTTTGTGCAGGAACTCCCCATAAGCCTTTTGACTCGTGTTGGTCCGACCGTATGATGTCCAAATCAAAATGTCACATTGTGTTGCGGTGTCATGTGATGTCAATTCCGCCTTGAGATGATCGATTTAGCGAGGAAAGTGATGACAGTTTCAAGTCACAATGTCACACACTATTATGATGTCACTCAACATCAATTTCTTGCTAAATTTAGTGGGGAAATCGCCACGACGTCGTGCAACATCACTGAGTCACGTGACTTCGTAGTGTTACGAGACATTGCAGTGTCGCATGACTCAACGCTACAACATCCCTGCTAAATTTAGAAATATATCTGCCAAATTTCTATTGGCAGCATGCAACATTTAAAGGGGGTGTGCCGCTCCACATGGCACCTGGTCGATGGCACCATCAACGACAGAAGTCCGAAAAAACGGTCGGCGACTGTATGACTGGCTGCTACACACAATCTTTTATGTGAAATGCTTCTGCTAGGAGCCGCGTCGCTATGCCACTGTCTTGTCGCACACTTCCCATACAAAGCGCTGCTCTTTAAAAACCCGTTCAAGTGCCATATCATTGCATTTGACAGAATGTCTAAGCCAAGTGATTTTTTTCACCATTTATCTCTTCACCACGTGTGGACATTCAATGATGGTTTCACTGGATTGATTTATTGTTGCCTTTAAAGCAGTTGAATAATGAGGTGCCCATTCAATCGGTATTCTGACTTACAAATGACTTGTATTTAGCAATGGTTCAATGTTCACTGCACAATTTTTTTAATTTACAAGTTACGAGTACTTTGCCTGTTACCGTATAGGTGAGAAGACGGCCCTTTGGCCTTTGGCTGTCAAAAGACAATGTGGATACTACCGTATTTGCACGAATATAACGTGAGTTTTTTCTCGGAATTACGTTCTCCAAAACGCACCTCGCATTATATTCGGAACTAAGTTCAACTGGTTCAGCCATGAGGCGCGCGAGTCTGGAGAAAGCCAGAGGAGAAAGACATCCCCTCAGCTCAATGCAGGAGATTGGGTGGGAAAAGAAGTGGGGGTGTGGGAGGGAATTTATTAGCTATTGGGCCACGTGAAGGGGCGAATAGAAAACCTACAACCATTTTTATCGCTTTTCTGTTTGAACAAGGCACGCACGCCGCAGAGCTGCGGGAATGCGGGCACTGGCCAATTCGAGCCAAGCCAAGACCGACTGTGTTCACACAATCGTGCAACACGAGGTGTTTGTTTATGCGGAGGGACCAGAACAAGAACAAGTGTGATTCTGTATCGGGTTCAGCAGTCTTCTTTCTGCCTGCGCATTTTTTTAGTTTCTGCTCCAGAGTGCTCTGGTGTTCATGTGTTGGTGTTTCTGCTTCGTGCCTTGCTTTGCTTGTGAGCTGCAAAGGAGCTCACGCCGAAGAAAAAGGAACTACTATACACCTTTCCAAAAAACGCTCCTAGGCCGCCGCCATGTTGCTGATGCTGATGCGGCTGGTGCGACTCTCGCGCCCTCTATCAGATAGAAATTTTCTGCCACTCTCTGGGACTGTGAAGACCCACTCAGCGCGGTTCTCTACCTATGTTTTTGCGGTTTTGCATTCAACGTTTTCTCGCCCCTCTTGAAAGTTTCCACTTAATTTTTTTTTATGCGTGCTGCGTACCCTTTTTGTGTTATCTTCCACTGTGACAAATAAGGCTGGTAAGTGCCTGCCATTCAAGCTTTTCTGCTCAACATTCACAGGAAACGAAGGAGGTGAAGGACGTCGAACGACCCTCGACGCGATTTTGCGAACATTGTTCTCCCCCCTCCCAGAGATAATCCGCGTAGAATCCCCAGTAATCTCCAAAAATAGTTGTCCAGGTTGGGGTGAGAAACGGGTCAGTCGCGTTTATTTCTTTGCCTTGGTGCGGTTGCGAAAACAGGAAGCTCTCCCCAAAATGTGCCCCAAAACGAAGTCATCTCGCATTCCGTCCGATCGTCAAGATGTGACTGTCGTCGACTGTGACTGTGTTATTTGAGATCTTTCTCAAATAAATTCTTTTTGGATAACGCTGCATCGTGTGGTACGTACGATATATTGTTCGAATGTTACCACTTCCTCAATTGTATGCCTGTGTCCTGCCCATCGGTAAACACGTTATTTGTGAGCGTGAAAAATGCATGCCTTTCGGCCCTCTTCTGTCGCAATTTATTTTTGACAGCAAGGCGCTTTGTCGTTCCACATGCGGCGAATCCCGCGGCGCCGTCAAAGCTTATCGTAAGAAAAAAAAATTACTAGAACTATACATTCCAGTCGCATTTGTTCTGTCGCGCGAGTACCCAACAAAAATAGCTCACAGTTTGTTTTGTTGCTTTTTTTGTTTTTTTTTAAATGTGGCACAATGCTTTCTCAATGTCCTCGGGAAAATACATGTACCATAAAACACAAAATATAGCGGGAAAAGACCAGAATTTAGCCGCCAGCACCGTTTTAAACTGCGCGTACGCAGGCTGCGCCTATTGAAATCACAGTCCACTCGGTTAGGGTTAGGAGGGACGCCGGTGAGAGTCTAGCCTCAAACTCAGTTACTGGGCTCGAAAACGGTTTGTTGCCCCCGGGGTCGAGTGTTTTTTGGAAAGGTGTATGCTCACGGTCAGCTTTCTGTAGCAATGCAGTCAATGCTAGGAGAGAGGGTGCACCGACCGCTGGACACACGCCTTTCTCCTCTCTTAGGATTGCCACAGAAAGCTGACCGCGAATATACCAGACAAGCCGTGCCATGCTGCTGCTTATCTGCGTACCGTAAAACCCCGCGTATAATAAAAACCCGCGTATAATACGAGGCACGATTTGAGGACCGTGAAAAAAGAAAAAACTGTTTTATCCGCGTACAATACGAAACAACTTAAGGGACAAGAAAATGTTACGCGTAAGATACGACCCATGAAGTCTTAAGAAGAACGCTTATTTGCGTCGTAATTGAACCCTTAATCACTGTCATCACTTCCATCAGTCCCCTTGTGCGACGCCTACTACAAAGACAGTCGTCTTCAGTGCCGTCGAGCACATTTGAAATCCCGCACTTCTTAAAAGAACGAGCGACGAGCGTGCGCGACGCAGTGAAAACTTGGCGCAGAAAGCGAGCAATTTAATGTAGGCTTGCCAAAGTTCTCTCGCCTTGCAGCAGCTCAATGTTTACGGCAAGGTGCCGTTCACGTTGCTCTTTTACAAAGTCGAAGAGACTTGCCTCGACGTCGGCGAACACTTCATTCTTTGGGCCTCAAAAGCTTCTTCTCATTCCATTGCACACGAACAGAGCTTGCTTTTGTCGTCTCCATCAGCACATGCTGCCTTTATTTACGGCGAATTGTCGTCTGGCAGCACCGTTGCCGATGTCTTCCGCAACAAAATGACTTTTTTTGAAGATGGCCGAGTTTTGTTTTCGCGCCGACGCTATTGGCTGTGTTCCAAATCTTACTCAAGTGGATCCAAATTACTCTGGCGGGTCGTGTCACGTGAGAACACAGATTGAAAAACGCTGGACGAGGGTAGGTTTTGGAATGCCAAGGTACAAAACCCTTACCTGGAGTAAGATCGAGTAAATTTTGGAACACGGCCATTGCCTAACCTGACTGTGGATGGATGGTGGCACCTCGGACATTGTGATTTTAATGATGATGATAGCTGTTTTGAATGCCATATTGCTTCAAAACCGAAACTATGTCAAACTGTGCTACATCGCGCCTCATCAAAGCAGAAAATTATCGGGACCCGCGTACAATACGAGCCGCAAATTTTACATGGCAAAATTTGAAAAAAAAAAAACAACTTGTATCATATGCGGGTTTTTAGTGGATTGTAAACGGAAGGACCTGAGTAGTGAGGATGAGTGCAGTCAAAACATAAACTGATACTTCTATTTCCATTGCCTTTTCACTTCTGCTTTGTCCCCGATTGCGGGAAATTTATGCGGCCTGGGGCTCGCGTTAGAATATTAATTTCTTTTTTTTTTTTTTTTGAGGCCATCAAAATTTGTTTTTGTGTTATATTCATGCAAGTATGGTAAGCCAATAAGTGCTCTGAATTGTAAAAATGTGGAGGAGTGTAAATCTGGGATAGTTGGTGAAGCAATTCTGCGTTGGCAAAGTGTGGGACACACTCACTGAAGTCACGACAGAGCACGGCAATCAAAGAAAAAAAGGAAATTTCTGAGGCATTCTACATTGGAAGGAGCAAGGACAACACAGGCATCAGTCCACTATCAATGGCATCATTCTAAAAACGAGATATCACATCTAAGTAAGTGTAAAGTGATTGGCTGATGACACTAGTGTAGTAGTTTGTTTGTTTTCCATTAAACTCATTCGTAAGTCAGCACCTGGTGTGTACGTTCCTTCGACTGGTCCCCGACCTTTTTTGCACTGTTTTCATTTCCTTATAGAAAACAAGGCTTCAGAAAATTAGTGAAATCTGAACTGTGCACCTACACCATCAATAACAGCATTAACTTGAATCACTGTCTGTATAAAATGTGATAAAATATCCTTCTAACGCAACTCCAATAACAAAGTTTCAGATGTCCCTACACTCACCGTTGGTGAGAAGCAGAGAGTGGAACTGGTACTCTTCGTAAAGCACCTCCACCAGGGTCTCCCTGATGGAGGGGAAGTTGAAGAAGGGCTCCGTCAGGATGATGCAAGTGTCCTCATACTTCACCTGGGAGCAACCAAAGAAAGCGCTGAGCAGGGGGCTTTCCAGTGACACAAGAAAACAGACCATTCGGTTTCGGAACACCCAACAGGGTCTGGCTGCGGCGTCTTAATGTGCCGAGTGATCCCGCAAGGGAGCTTCAATGTATCTGCTATGCCACACTTTCCACAGTTCATAAATATGGCCATCGAACCCATTCAGCTCAATCACAGGCCAAGTTTGTGGTATAGATCGCAGGCAGATCCATGAGAATTCTATCGATACAACTTAAAATTGCATGAAAGAAGCCTAAAAAGAACTAGCCATGTAGGTGTGTGTTTCCTGTCAGACAGTGCAGCAAGAGAAACAATTGCTTTGAGAGTTCCCTTCCCAGGAAAGAATATGAGGCCATTATCAAACAGGGGAATTATTACGCTTGTCCCTGTTTCAAAATACAGGTCATCATATCAGTGACCTCAGGGCTTCATTATTATTTCCATGCACTCAGATCTTTCCTTGCATTGATAACACGCATAAAGTTCACCTATTTTTGGTTCATCTACCCCATTTCTCAACTCCACCTTACGATTGACGATGGTGAGCTGGAATGACCTGCCTTAACAGCGACGCAGCCAAAAATGGTCATACTGAATTTAAAGCGCGACAAACCGATCACTTGCGCCTGCACTGATAGCATAAGCATCAATTAGATTTTACTTGTTCTTCGTATATAAATATTTTAATTGTGTCCTATTTGTATAACCGTTCAATTTTTTCGAAGAAAAATGTTTCAGCGACAATTTTTATTTTTAATTTTTACTGAAACGTCGGGCACATTGAAGAAATTGGTTAGAGTCTAATAACCACCCTTTCTTATTTTTTACTTTTATATTACAACATTCTAAAACAACTCCCTTGTGTATAGAATACCTAATAAATGATGATGGTGACGACTGTCGAAGAGTACTTACGTTAAAAACGTCCTTGCCAAACATGTAGTCCCACACCTGCTTCTCAATGTCCCAGTTCACCAGGTAACCCTGAAACAATGCACACAAAATTATGAAGGCAAGTTTCCTATCGAGCCGAGTGAACCCTGCTAAAGTCATGGCTGCACCTCCATCTCAAAGCTTGGGGACAATGTGTGGTACCCACAACCAGATTCTAAGCATGTCTGTCAACCGCCGGTTTACATTGAAATAAAATGGATGATGAAGCAATATTGGGTCCGAAACAGCACACGAATCAAGCATGAGTGTGCAACACCAGTGTGCTGTAACTTGATAATGATAAATCTGTCGGAAAATATTCACCTATAGTAGTAGGTTTGCAGCCATTTATATTAGACCTTTTGCTAAATTATGCAAGCACCAAAAAGCGTGGTGAAGGTGTAGTTATCTGGGCTGCACGTTCTGGTGTCTGCCAGCAGGAACTGTTCTAAAACAAAAACCTAAAACAAATAGTACTTTGCGCGCGCTTTCATCGGTGTCTTATTTTGGTTATTCACTTCAATTCTTTTATTGATAGCTCGAACGAGCGCAGTGGATGTACCTACGTTTTCCAAAGTTATCCTCGGCGCTTGGGTGATCTGGAGAAAGGCCTATTATATTTCGTTTTACCTTACGATAAACTGCAGCAGAGGTTGCAAGCCATCCCGGCAAACCCAGCACTGTGAACGCATCACGTTACTATGCATGCCATTTGTTGCTGCACACGTTACAAAGGTCACGCGACAGTCCCACGGCATCTGATTGGCTCCGATGGCTCGCAGCTTCCACTGCAGTCTTTTGTAAAGTGAAATGGAGTACCGTATTTTCTAAACTACCGTATTTACTCGCATAATGAATGCACCCCCCCAACAAACATCAATTTGGACTTCTGTTTTTTCCCCTCGCGTAATGAACGCATGTCCAATTTTCAACTCTGCAAGTCTTGAACTGCATACAACTCAGCTAGCGACCAAGCCCACCAAGCCAATTTTCTTTCTCCGCCAAGCGGCCAGGCCACATCAAGCTAAGCCAAGCATAGCAGTACACGCTCTGGTGGCTGCAAGCGAGTAGTTACAGGAGTGACCAACGGTGAAACCAAGCAGCGCACACACCTAACAAAGCTGGGGTCAAGGAATTGCCCAGCCCTGGACATGTTTCACCCCCAGATGCATTGATGTCAACAAACACGTGGTCGTCTGTGGTCCGCTTTAGGACAGTGAAATCGTGAGTGGTTAGGCCTAAGAATGGTTGTGTCTCTCTTTGTGCTGAGTGAGCTCAGCAGGGCGCTTTTCCTTCAGCAGAAGGTACGCCGAAAGCACCCTAAAAAAGGTTTGTAATTTATACAGAATGCAGGGGCTTTGGAACTAGTGGGGGCAGTGGGGGCAGTCGGGGCAATCTTTCCCACAGGTTCTAAACCAGGGGGGGGCATGCCTCCACATTCAAAGCTGTTCTGACCGACCCCCCCCCTCCCTCTTTTCTCCCCTACCACTACCCGCGAGGCTGTTGCATGTTGAAGCTGCACTCCATAGGCGACAAGGCACCAGAGGCTAATCCTATATACAATTTTTTTTTTGTTTATCTTAACAGATTTGTTTTAAAAAAGTTGTGAAAGTTACATTAATGCGGTTTGTGCAGGTGAGTTATACGGCCAGGGGGACATAGTATGAGGGGCTAATCGTAACGATCAATCGACTAATTAATTAAAATTCGTTAATTAACTGTTTAATTAATGAAAATAGACATATGGTTCCAATTAGAAACTTGCTCAGCATCATTGAAAACCACTAAATCAACTCTTTTTAGAAGGATATAACGCAGGGGGAAACGTTTAATTTGGATGCATTTCTAGGTTTCGATTTCTTATTGGAGCGCATCTCTGCGCCCGCGGTCCTGCTCCCCAGTGGCTGAGATGTGCAACACACGTGCGCCCAACTTTCTTCCATGCTACCTGGGAGACGGGAGGGTGGCTTTGCGCCGTGACCACCGGGGGGCAGGACTGCGGGTGCAAAGATGCGCTCCGATAAAAAAGCGAAACCTGGAAACGCGTCCAAACTGAGCGTTTTTACGGAATGCCATAATATACAGCCCGCCCCTGCGTTATATCCTTCCAAACAGAGTTGATTTAGTGGTTTTCAATGACGCTGAATAAGTTTCTAATTGGAACCATATGTCTATTTTCATTAATTAAAAAGTTAATTAACGAATTTTAATTAATTAGCCGACTGATCGTTACGATTAGCCTCCTATACTCTGTCCCCCTGGCCGTATAACTCACCTGCACAATCCGCATAAGTGTAACTTTCATGGCTTTTTTTAGACAAACCTGTAAGTTTAAAAAAAAATGCCCTGTATATATCTATATATATATATAAAGAGAGAGAGGTGAACACACGATGTGACATGAGCCCCCAGACTTTGCCCCCACACATCAGATATACTTCCGGGGCCCCTGACAGCATGGTTACTGTGGCGCATCCACGACCAGTCGTAATTGCGCCTCTGTCAATGGAGACGTGCCACAGTACCCTGCGGTGTCATATTGACACCTAAAGTGACATTGTCACAAAGTGTGTAAATGCAAAAATTTTACCCCGCAAAATGAACGCACCCCTCAAATATGTGTCAATGTTTTGAGAAAAAAAGTGTTTATTATGCGAGTAAATACGGTATATTCCACAAACTATACACATTGAAAAAGTTTAAAGTTTATGCGGTGTGAACTTTTCACGGGTGCAAGCTATACAAGGATTTGTTTTTTAGGATAGTTTATTATGCCGAGACGTAACAAATTTTGTGGAAGGCAGGTTAGCCTAAAGATGATATCCTATAAGAGGAGCTTCTCTTTGTGCTACTAAACAAGGCATTTTTTTAGATGTGCCAAGCACTGGCTGTATACCAGGCATAGAGTATGCACTGGATGCAACACACTTTTTACAAACAAGTCTGCGTCTGCATGATGTGGGAACCGCATAGAACCAGATTCGCGTAGGATAAAGCATAGAGTTATTATAATGTACGCTAGAGGTTCAACTGGCGCTAGTGTCTATGCGACTTCCGTGACGCAAATTGAAGCAGACAGCAACCAGTCTACTTTTCCAGTCTTCCTGTGTATTCCTATGGGAAAGCGCGCGTGCATTTTGTCTCTTCGCCGGAAAATAACACGGAACATTTTGGTTATTTGGGTCGTACCGAATAGTATGTACCTTGATTAACACTGGAAAAGTGTAATTGCTTTAGTTAGCGCATTTTTCTTCATCAGTGACCGATGTTTAACTTCGCTACATTTCAGTCCCGAACGTGTGTCCCGCAGCAGGTGTGTAGAAACAAGCGACGAATCGAAGCAAAATTACAATCGAAATGAATGTAGAGTGTGTTCAAGGCTCGCCAGCAATCCGGTGACGCTTATATATTGCTAATATGCCAGTCCTGTCACTATATAAAAATGACCCCGTCGTGCATGAGCGGATAAAAACATTCAAAAACGTAGAGAATAAAGTCCGCGGGCTATAAAAGTTGTCTCTTTGTATTGTTTTCTCTGCCGGGCAGCTTTTAACGGGCGCTTGTTCTCAAAGATTTCGAGCGTGCGAGTGATATTTTGAACGTAGAACAAGCAGCTTCGCTCAGAGCAGAAAGAATAAAACGGTACTTACTTATTTAAAATAGGAGCCTTCAATTAATTTTGATCGTATATGCACGTGTAGTTACTGATCCGGTGTTACTGCGTAGTTCTTGCCGTCTTTCTTAATTTCCAGATGTTCTTCGTTCGTTTGGCACGTATATCCCCCACGCTGAAAAGCGGCGACGTCGTGTTCGTGCTAACAGTGTCCGACAGGGCACATAAATACACGTACGAAGCTGTTTTAGCACCGTTTTTAATGCGATGAATTTGAAAGAAAGACACCGTAACTGACCAATTATTTCGTCGGCCTGACTGAGAAATGTTCCGAGCTACCTAGTACGTATGAATTATTCGGGATATTTGCTCTTATGATCGAGCGCAGACAGAAATGCACTCACTTTTTCCCATAGAAATGCATTACCGGAAGTCAATTTTCGACTGGTTGCTGTCTGCTTCAATTTGCATCAGCACACTAGCGCCACTTGAACCTCTAGCGTACATTATAATACCTCTATGGGATAAAGAACCTGCACGTGCGCAGTGTCGACAGCCATCGCAGTGGCCCGACGTCATAAAGTTGAGTTTGTGTATGCACATGGTGGGGACTATCATTTGGAGCATAGAGTATAGTGGGGCAATGAAAATCACCGAATTCCAACAGTGCCCGGATCACAACAGGATGAGGCCAGTCTTCAGCGGGCAACCGACCTTCTGGAAGGGCAGGAGGTAGAAGAGGCTGGACATGTCCTTGCAGTCGTCCAGCTGGTCCCCCACAAACTGCCTGCGTCTCTCACTCTTGGCCTTGGTGATGCAGTTGGGGATGATCCTGCACAATGGTGGATAGCAGGCAATGGGCATTTGGGGCAGGAGACCCCAAAAACCGCAATTCTTGTTTTGTCGGGATATGCCCTTAGGAGGGCAACACAGCTCCCCAGGTCCAATGCATTTCAGTGACGAGTTTTTGGTCCGACTGCTTCAAAATGGATTTACAAGAAAAATAATAAAAAAATCTAAGTTGCAACGCAGTCTCACGTTTCCTGGTTTCGGGGCGAGAGATTTTCTACGGGAGCTTCAATTCTTTCAGACTGCCCTTTTTTTTAACCTGCTATTCATTAGCACTTCTGAAGAAAACAGAGGCACCAACACATTTTCTGACAATGCATTGTGCAAAGTAATTAATTTCTTTCTTAACATATCTCCAAGAAGATCTTCATTCCATGAATTTTAATAAGGAAACAGGAGGATCAAATCTGTGCTCCATCGAAAGCCTGAAAATTGCCTTCCTAGAGTGATATGATTATCTATCCAGTGGCACCATCTGTGAGCAACTTTTTATAGTTATTTCACAAACAAGATCATCCTGTGGTAGTGCACAGCGATGGACTACTTGCATAACCCTGCTTTTTTCAGTCCTGTTCAAGGTTTCAAGGTAAATGCTTTGCAGAATTTTTTGTTTTTTTTTGTTTTTAATTAGGGATGTTGGCTGAGCAGCAAGTAAATCACGCAGTCGTTTTCGCAAGTGCCATACAGGACAGTGCAAAACTGGCGACACTTTTCTTTTTTTTGTTTAGCCACAATTATTGTTTTGTAGTAATGCTGCGTAGAGTTGCTTATACAGTGCACGCATGTTTTGTTGTCTGCTCAAGTCAGTTGCGTAGCTAGGAACTTTTTCGGCGAGGTTTGAGGTGGCTGGAATGTTCACAACATGGGATGCCAGAAGAAAGGGGGGGGGGAGGGTCGAGATGCATGTGTATAATATAGGGTTGGCTGGATTTCAGGGAAGAGAGAGCGCTATTTCATCCATGTAGTCCCGGCATGGTGCCACAGTGACGATGAGGATTTTTTGTGTAGGATGTCTAAACAGAACAAAAACAAAATCGAAAAAGAACAATATTTTTTAAGTGGAACGAAGATGTAATTGAGACATTATTTAAAAATCTGTTCCAAATAAAACGGAAAACTTTTTTTTTTTTTTCAGTTTTTAGTTTAAGTGGTAAGAAGTGTTTCTCAAGAAAAAAGAAGCTGAGGCTGGCACACACATTCTTATTTGAAAATTACCCAAGCATAAAAAAAAATGCCAGGAACATAAGTACATGCACTGAGCAGGCTGGTGTCTTCAGCTCCAAGTGTTTGAAAGCAAAAATCTAAAACAAATGGCACTTCGCACGCACATTCCAGAGACGCTCTGTTTTGGTTATTTACTTTGAATTTTTTCTACAGGGAAGGTGAGCACGTGCAGCGCATGTACCTACATTCCCCAACTTTCACTTTGATGCTTGGGTAATTTAGCGAAAGGTCTATTAGGAACGCCAATCTGAACTGAACACTTAAGCGCAAGTAGCCCATAGTATACCATCCAGACAGGTCAGCGTGGAGTGGCATTCTCGACATTCAAGTTTATCTTATCGGAACAGAGGTATCGCGTTTCATCAAGCGTACTTGATGACGTGTTCCTTTTGAGATCATGCTCGGTGCCCTGGGACATTCTTCCTCGTGCTGCCTTTTATCCAATTCTTTCATTTTCTGTAGCTGCAATAAGAGCACACTTGCTATAACTTTTTAATGACCTACTTTTTGATAAAAATAAGTGTTAAGTTTTTCTTCTGCATTTTGGTTTTGAATTTTGTTTGAACGCTAACATGAATCTTTGCGAATCGCTACGGACCGCCATTTTTTCATTCTGGAGGAGAACCTGAATGTAACGTTTTTTTAATGGAAGGAAATGGAAACCAGAACAAAGAACATTTCGTTCCGACACCCTTTTGTAGTGGTCGTTGAAGGCTAGGCGGATGTTTATGTTGTCTGCCAGCCGATTATGGGGCAGAAGTTCGCCACGTGGCACCAGTCGGGTTTAAATTGATTGGCTTTTCCTGGCCAGAGGTAAAGAAGGTGATCTTCCATAAAGGTCGGAGAACCGTAGTGTGGGATTTTTGGTAAGGACTCGAGTGCTCCACGGCGCGACGATGATGTTCTAATCCCAAAATTCGTACAAATGCTTAGATGTACAGTGGTAATCACACTTGTCTATAACGCGCGAGCGAGCAGCTTTCTCCGGGGAGCGCTAGACTGGTGGCATTCGCGGAACTAAGCTAGGCACGTGGCGCAACATGCAACAGCCCGCTCGAGGGGTGTCCTGCCCACTCTATGAGCTTGATAAGCGATAAATATAAAGTGCTTTGTGATATATTTTTGTTTTTTTTTGTTTTCATTCTTTGATGACGAAATCGTTGATACGCCTTCATGCTTTAGTGTGTTTATTGTTCGAGCAATGAATGATGTTTGTAAAAAGCGTGCGAGCAGCCTTCCGCGTTCGCCGCCAGCTAATAGAGTGGGCAGGACGACACCCCTCGAGCGGGCTGTTCCATGTTGCACCACGTGACTAGATTAGTTTTCGCGAATGCCACCAGTCTAGCGCTCCCCGGAGAAAGCCGCACGCTCGCGCGTTATAGACAAATGTGATTAGCACTGTACATAGTTGCTAAAACTAAATTCTGCCAAATAAACTTTTGATAACATGACTATCTGGAATCTCTCCAATTTTTTCCTGTTTCCTACTTTATTGTTGATTTTACATAAAGAAGCATGTCTTTAGTCACACTTGGTGGATTTCAAGCGCATGAAGAGTTCCCAACTAAAAATATTTCCAATGTCTATTGAGAACATTTTCTGAATATTCAGAGAAAAATTGAGAAAAGCTATGCTGTGCACTTAACTGGCAACAGAAAGAATAAAACAAACTCGTGACCCGAGTTTGTTTTATTCTTTCTGTTGCCAGTCAATGTTACCAACATGCTCTTCAGTAATGTGTGCAATTAAATGTTGTGTTTATGTTTTAATGCGAAAGCATTAACTGTCTCATGGAGCGAGCTGACGTCATCAGTTTGAAGCGTGAAAACGGCTCATAGTTTCCGCCACAATCTAATGCGGCTAAATCAAACGAGCGAATAGTGCAGCACATAGCCCACTGTCGCAAGAGCTAACTCACCGAGTTAACTCACCCACCGAGAAGCTGGAAGACTGCATTTTTGACATCACTTTTAGTAGCAATTGCGGCGTCCCTTTGATGTAATATTTTGGATTTGGACACACCTTGCCCCGCCTAAAGCGATATCAGGCATCTGTTTCAGTTTGACTCTTCAGCAAAGCTGCCCTTTAACCCTTCGCTGCTCATTACACATGCCAATCGAGCTGCCGTTCGTTACGAACCGGACAGCTCAACCACGGTCTGGCTCATTTCAGTTTCGAAGCTTGCCTAGTGGGCCCTCCGGCAGATGGCAGCACTATCAGTACACCTCTGTAGGGAGCCTAGATAAAAGAGAGGAAGCAGTTCAAACCACAAAGAGAATTTGCAATTTAGGGGTGGATGCCTCCTGCGCAGGTCGGTTACAAGAATGCACGCGTTCCATTGTCGTGGGACAAGGAGGAAAGCAGGCAGGGAGACAGAAATGCTTGCAGACAATCAACTAGGGTTGCTACCTGCTTGAATTATGACCGACACAGCCGTCTTTTTGATTAAAAGGCCAGTTGTCGGTCTGTATCTGAAACTGGCCACCCATTTGTGTTTTTTTTTCCAACTACCCAAACACAATTCTTTCTTTTTCTTGGGGAGGGGGAGTATTTATAAATATATTGAAAAAAATTAATGTTATCAGGTATAGAGACATATGCATTTGCTGCAAAGAAGACATCATTTCTGTAAAAGTATGGAGCATTTACTATTCAGTGTTGTCCATACAGTGTCTGCAATTCACTCAAGCAGATCAGAGAATGGCGAGCAAGACGTTACTTTGAATATGAGGACACAGTCCTTTTGTATTTTATGATTCGGGAGATATGAAAACATGTTCGCCTTACACGAATTTACGAGTGACCATGAGCTTTTAAGTCAGAGGCTCGTGCCAGTGCTCATGGTCTATACCCGCAATCACTACAAAAACCTCCAGAACCAGCAATATTTGAAAGAATTAGATTTATGCTCCAAGTAAGCATGCTGAGCTTCATGCTTACCGTCTTAGAATCATGTTTACTTGAAGCGTGATTTAATTAGCAGCTGTTTTTATGTAAACCGCAATAACCGTTTCTCCACCCGCTGCAAAAAATGAATAGAGCTGCGGGATTTGTTTATGGCACTTTTTTCAGTAAATCGTAGGCATCTATATATGACTGAGGAGTAAAGCTATACGCACGACGTCGTGCACCTCCAACGGAAATGGCTATACGCAAAATGCGAAACTTGTTGGGGCTCGTATAAAATGAATGGTTAACACCAGTTTCTGAAGCAGTAGCTTAGTTTAGTGGAGAAGTGTCTGGTTCATGCGCGGCGGAGCCAAATTCAATGCACAAATTGGGCTTACTTTTTCTTCTTTTCTCAAACATTTTTTTTTGTTGAACATTTCGCAATATTTTTTACATTACTTTTTTACAATTATCACTGAAAAAAACATGCTGTCGAGGAACCTTCGCTGAACTAAATGGCATGGGACTCTCTTTCTGGAAGTGCAATGGGATGGAGGACAGCGGGGCTTGGCCCCCCATAAGCACCACTTCGCAGCGTGTATGGGTAGGCCAAGTGGGTTAATAGTTTTGTAACGAGCAGCCGCAGATTGTTACCGTGAAGTGGCATGAGCGCAGGTGGGGGGCTGGGTTAACGCTTTCCCCAGTGATACACGCACTGTCCAAAAAGGTGACCCAAATTGCGTGAGCTTTCTGCGTCGTGCATATAGCTATGCTCATGACTGAGAGTGTTGTGTATTTGTGTACTAACATGTGCTATGATATATTAATGAATCTATGTTAATTGATTTTACTTTGAGAAGCTCGCGTGAAAGAAATTGAATCTGTGTATCAATGAAAACTGTCAACACTTTGCCTCCAGATACTGTTTGTAGCTCTCCACTTTTCAGAATAGACCCCTTTCAAAAAATCTGGCAACAGCGAAAATCCGCTGAACGAGTCCAACAACATTGGGCGGCCGGCGCCATTGGGAAGGACCCTGTTGCGGCCGGCATGGTTGTTTTGACTGTAGCGTTCTTGTTTCGTCGATCCCTTCGCCTCTGTATGGCTGCAGGTAGCGTTTTCCCGATCACGGGTTGGGTAAACGACCTCTCCCAGCTCCCAGCCGTTAAAGATGATGAGGTATATCGCTTCTTCAAGAGCCGATCGGACTCAGAACGACAATTCGACAGAAGTTACAACTTTCTCGTTGAGCGGTTCGTGGTCGCCGCATCTATAAAGGCCAACTACGCAAGAAAAAGGTAATTACTAAGATCTTTGTAGTTACGACATCAAACATGTCATCAAAAAATGATAGGAACCGGTTATAATTTACGGGCTGTAGTTAGAAGTCGCCAGTACTCTCCGGATGTGCGACGAAACAGGCGCAGGGGTCCCGCTTCGCTGTCGCTCGGGCAGTCGCGCGATGAAGCACACCGCATAAAAGCGACGAGCGAGCGACCAAGGCGATGAGCGTCGTTTTCTAGAAATCCCAAACCAAGCGACGCGACAAGCGACAGTGAAACATTTTCGTTGCTCATAGCCGACTTTCGTCGCTTGTGCCGTCGCTTGACTCGTCGCTCGTCAAATCGCGTTTTTTTACCTGGAATTAAGACCTAAAATTTCAATGCGCAAGTTAACCAGTAAAGGACGTATTCGACACAAGTTCCTACTTGATACGTCGAGTCCCTTTTCCTTGAGAAAGATTTTAGAGTTGGGAAATGTAGAGCAGCAAATTTTGCAGTGAAGCAGAAGTTGCAAGCGCGTGCAAGTTGCTTTGCATAAAGCACGCGCTGCACAGATGTCTGCGCTACAGGCAGCTTAAAGCGTCAGGTCGTATGGCTTCATGCGTACCTAACATATAATTTACACGCGCAAGTTGGAAGCACCGCGAGCTCGTGCATACCTGAAGCTAGCCGCTCGCGAAGCTGTCACGTCCACAAGCGATACCACGAGCAACATTATATTTGTATTTGACGCCTTGATTTCTTCAAGCTAGCTGAAACTCGAAAACTCTACCTCCAAACGCAACAAAGTGAGATTAAAAACACCTGACTCAAACACCCAAGGAAGCGTAGCGTGAAAACGGTTCGTGTTCCGTTTTTGCACTTCAGCAGGGAAATGTTTGCGCGGCTACGCCGCCGTCAACCAATAACGAGTACATTTCCGAATACGTACCTTAATGCCAGACTTGTCCAGATACCCACTCTGCTTACAGAGGCGTACGCAGCAGTACGTTGGCATCGTGGGCAGGAAATTGACTAGCGTCTACGGCCAACGCAGCGTATGCAGCGGCGCGCACTATCCTGCAGCATGGCGGCTGCCACTAGTTGCTGTTGCGTACGACAGGTGGCGCTTTTTTCTCTGATGGGTCTATACTTGCAAGAGAACCACACAGTGAAGAACTACTGAATGGACACTTCAGATAGTCAGAAATTAATAGTGAGAGAAACAAACAACATCTGGAGGCCGAGTGAATATTTCCTTTAATTTTCGTGCGAATAACCAATATTAAATAGTTTTCAGGCAGTGGCGGAGAAAAGAATTTGTTTTGAGGGGGGGGGGGGGGGGGGGGGGCTGAAGCCTTATAAGCCTTCTCTCTGGCTACGCCATTGCTTTGTGGTATATTTTGTCTCTAAAACAACTGTATGTAATGGGTTAAAGGCCGACGACCAGACTCGAGATTCTGCAAGGCAGATGATCCTCCTCACCATGGGGGAGGATGAAACAGGCAACGGTGGAATGTGTAGAAAGGGGAGAGGGAAGCGAAGGAAAAGTGGAAAGCGCGAACTGGTCGCCGGTCTTTAAGCTCAACTTATAAAGCGATACCATTCACTTGTTTTGTTTCGTTTCGGACTTTTAACTGAGATTTCAGAAGTTAGTGCACGGCGAGAAAACTAACGCCTTTTAACACACACGTTATAAACATCAACTGCGGTAATTTCAAAAGAAAGAGCGCGTCGCTACACCCACGGCGGATCAAGAAGGGTAGCGACGAAAGAAAGCAGGGAGGCCATGTCGGCTTCAACGCTAGTATCAGTCTATCCGTTCACTCGGTGCATTTCGGAGAGACCAAAAAAAGGTTTTGTGCCGATACACTCGGGGAGTCTGACGGTACTCTGCTGCTCACCTGGGCGCATCTTGAGTCGTGTACCCGGCTTTGATTGAACCACCGCCGTTGTCCACAACCAAACAGTGCGCTGCCATTTTTCAAGCCGCGGCCTTGGATCGGATTGGAACTGGCCTTCATATTAGGCTTTGGCTTGACTGCGTGGTTTCGTTCTCAGGTATCGTCGCTTCTTTTTGGTCGTTGCTTTATTTTCAGCACTATCAGCTTCACAGTCATCCTTCAAGCAATTAATTTGAATTGATACTGAAGTTAAAATGCAAACTGAATCTACCGAGATTTCCCGTACGCCCGTACTGCACAGAACATGTTCTTGGTCTGCTACGCATGCAGCTACTGCCGTGTGGACGCCGGTCGCAGGTTTATAAACGTTTGTTTAAGATTACCTGCATTAGATCAAAGCACAGGATTGCTTCCAGAGGGCAAAGGCGCAAAGGGCCCTCTGGAAGCAAAGTTACATTTTCGCGTGCCGCTGGAAACCTGTTTCATAACTTTCGCCCGCCATGTTTTCTCGCTTTCCAGCTTGCTCAAGTTCTCTTGCGTTGTGGTTGACTATATCTGCCGGAGCAATCAGCGACATAAAAGAGCATCGGTTGGTCCAGCCGGTGGGCTCGAGAAGTCTGTTTTTCGGCGGGGTTAGCGGCCTAAATTGCCGCAACTCCGGGGGAGAAAACTGAAGCAGGGGGTTTTCTTCGTACTTCTTAGGTTCGATCTTGCTACACTAGGGTGAGAGAGGATCGTGCTTAGACTTTTGCACTTTTTTTTTCTTCTGCGTAACTTAGTTTTTTGTTTGTTTAATTTCTTTTTTGCGCTGTGATCGACCCACTGATCTGATCGACCGATGATATAAAGGGTTAGTCCATCATAATCCACTACAATCCAATCCAATCCGCTGAAAACTGTAGCTTCGGCTCGGCTGCTGTAGGGCTGTAGCTCGGCGGCTCGGCGCTCGGCTTCACTGACAGCACTGACAGGGCTTGCTGTACTGACTTCTCGATTCGAGAGAAATGGTGATCGAATTAAGTGTCCCCGTGTCAATCCTGGACTATTGTTGGTTTTTATAATCGCCGTTTTCGAGTGTGTGGTGTTTGTGATTGGTGCCAGTGAGAGAGTGCCGGAACCTTCGCCCGAGGAATGGACCAGCGAAAAAGTGGCGGCGACATGGGAAAGATTTCCAAGGTAAGAGGTGCTCAGATCGTCGTCGATCTTGTCGGTAGTCTTTCTCTGGCGGAGGTTGCAATTCATGCCGGATGCATCGCTCGTGTTAGTCAACGCGCAGCAGTGCCCGCGTTGTGTGAGCATTCGTTTGAAGAGTGCGCCCGCGCGGGGCTTACAAGCATCCGAGTGGGCTCGGGCGCTCACGAATGTTTGTCGTTTCTTTATGCAAATGAACGTACTTCGCAGATAACGTAGCTAGAGGCTCGAGATGAGCCACCGGTTTCTTGCGTGAACACTGCAACGATCGCTCGTTGTCACATTGAGCCGGTTAGCGTACAGCACTTGAGAGTTTTTCTGACGCCTTCTGCAATTCATCTGGAATCCCGCGTTGGTTGGGGGTGGTCATACCTGTGACCGACGTTTATAACCCTTCTGACAAAACATTGTATGAAAGGGAAGTGCTTGCGGTACATGATTAAACTTTTCACTGCGCACCGAAATCCAGAACTCCTAATCATGTGCATTATGATCCGCAAATGAAGTGCCAGAAACGAGGATCCTCGGTTTTCTTAATAAACTTAAAAATGAATGGTGCAAACTTGTATGTGGCAAGCATCCAGAGGAACTGTATGCATGGCGTGCACCGATGTCACATCGGCGACCATTGTCAAGGTCCCTGGTGCTACGCACGCACGTTCTTAAGCGTATATTTTAAAGCACCGAAATTCTTTTCCTTGGCGGGAAAAAGCTGGAATGACCTCTGGTGCACAGTGATGACATCACATACAAGTGGTGTATAAAAGCCTATCAAGAGTTCAAAATGTCAAGCACATAAATGCCCTTCAGGGGCAGCACTTTCACACAAGAGCCCCGCTGCCTTAGTCGAGCAATGGCGGGACATTCACGAGAGAAATGGCTCGCAGCGGGCACATAGCCAGGGGGGGGTCCATGGGGCCCAGCCCCCCCCCCCCCCTCCCCCAAATCTTCCATTTTGCAGGGGCCTGCTCTCCCCCCTCCCCCTCATACAGCATTTTGTCATGGGCGCCCCCCCCCCCCGCCCCTTGAAACAAAATCCTGGCTACGTGCCTGGCTCGCAGCATCGGGCCGACCCCTGTCGTGATTTCCCGAAGAGTAGAAACAGCACGTTGGAAAAAGGACAAGAAGCGTTAGCGGAGAAATCCACGTCAGTTACGCCTAATGTTAGCCTACGCGTGACTCGGCGATCTTAACTTTGATGCTCCGATTAAGGAAAGGATCTTTGGCTTTGGAGGAGACGGAGTGGCTGTCGCACGGTTGGTTTGGCCACTTCAGCTGCCATGAGTATGGAGCCTGGAACGCGTTTTTGTCTGGTATGTTTGTTACCCCATACCACCCACGCATGGGACGCATTCTTGAAGTGGCAACCAATGACGTCACAGGAGCCAGCATGTCATCGCTGTCAGACGTTGCTATCCTGGCGGTTAGTCGTGGATATTTTATGACTGTATGACATTTGCCGTATTTTAACCCTTTCTACCTTTCCTGCCCGTACCATTCAGTTGGTCTGCAATACGCAATAAATAAGTCCCAACTTAGGGCTACTGAAGTTTCCACTAGCTGGAGAGCGACCTACAGCAGAACAGGCGTCTGCCACTTTCGCCTCCGCTGCTATGTAAGCGCCGGGGTCAGGGCTATAGAGAAGCACGACGGCACGACACATACACGCCGTCATCAGGCGGGAGTATGAAAAGCGTTCCAGGCACCATACCATAAGCACCGAATGGAATGCTCATGTGAGCCAGGCACACCATTAGTGACGACGTTAAAGTGTGATCTGCATTTCCTTCCCAATCATTACATTTCATTTTCGGATGCTAATTCGCTCAATGCAGACCACAGTTCTCGAATCCGTAACTGCATCTGTTTTGTTTCTGGCCTGTTGCTCACCTCAAATGCTTTCATAAAGAAGCACGATTGCTTGGCCTCATCAGTTTTGTTTCGAGAGTCTTCAGATTACAAGAGCTGTACTTTGAGCCACAGGGAGTCTTGTGTGGCCCATGAGAATCAGTTTGGCCACCATTGATGGAGGTTATGCGAGTTGTCCTTGATAGGTGAGATGTGAGGTGGACCCCCGGTATTTATAGACCGACATGCTGTTTACAAACAAACCCGTGTTTGCCCACACCAGGTGTGGGCACTGCGCGTGCGCAGAAACCGAATTCACATAAAATGAAGTGTCTGCGCATGCGCAGTGCCGTCGACAGCGCCACCGCAGCTGCGTGACGTCAGGGCCGCGTGTTGGTCTATAGAATGTACAATATAAGGTGGAGAACCTTGCATATGTACGGGACTCCACAGCATGAAACTGAATGGCGGATTTTGCAGGGCTGTTCCTACCTCCTGAGGAGCTATGCATTTTCGTGTTGATTGTTCTGCCATGCTCGGTGCGCAACCATATAGTTGGCTATGCACCTGCAATGTTACTGTTTTTTTTTTCTTCTGATGACTATATGGCATTATTGCAATGGGTGGTTAAATGGCAGAGTAGAAGAAAGTGTGGAGAGAAATTTATTTACTCTTTTATTAACTTGAGATTTCTAGCCACTATATTAGTAATTGAAACATTATTTACTGAGAAATATTTATCTGATTGAAATGTGAAACAGTGGACTTGATAGAAAGAAGCACCGTGCTTTCCTGACCCCTCATCTCTTTTACTGAAAGTCGTAGGCAGTAGCAACATGGAAAACGAAACAGAATGCTAATAAGAAGGAATATTCTCCTTCTTATTAGCACTAGAGAATAACTAACTGTCGGCAAACAATGCATTATAATAGAATAATCAGTTGATTAATTGGTTAACTTCACAGCCATATGCCAAGCAGATAATAAATGCTGATTTTGTTAAAAATTGTCCTGAACCTCCCGTAATGTTTTTAAAGAAATGCAAGCCGCTGGTAACCAAGGGCCGTCGACCTCCCTAAGGACTCCGAATAAGCTGTACGAAACTAACACTGCACAGTGTAAACTCGTGGGAAAAGAATGCAAGCTGAAAGAAACTGGTGAACATCACACATTTCTTCACTGAATAGGTTTGTTCCTACAAAGAAAATGTCAATATTGGTGTGAATATGACAGTATGAATAGTTTATTAGTATTACGGGACCATTTTAATGTTTAAACGTAGATGCGACATTGTTGTTCTCAAGTCGTCTCCCCTAGTGTAGGCATTGTGTTGTTCTTGTGTCAAGCCTGGCTGTGCTCAATACATTTGGGTAATGCCATCTGGAAGACGTGTTAATCGAGAAGAATACGGTGTCACTGTGGCTGTCGGCTACACCGCCAAGTGACTTGGGGACTGACCTCGGGAAATTTGGGGGTTTATGTCATTTACCCGCAAGGTGTAAGCATTACGGAGGGAAGTGGGGAAACAAAAGTTAAGAGTGAATATATGTCTGAGAAATATAATTAGATGTAAACTTGTGTCAACAGGCTATCCAATGTCTTTTTAAAAAGAAGCACAATGACAGCAATAGACCTTTTGCAAAATCCCAAGAGGTTGTGCACGAAGCATGCGGTCAATTATTGGAACTTCCTGTATGCCCTTCCTTTCCCCTGCAACATCTATCAAATGGCACTGAAAAGAGAAACACCTTTGGTGGCCCGCATTTCCTGTCATTTCTAAGGTCGCCTCCGTCGTCTGCTTCAGCTGGTTCTATACAGAGAGTTCCCAGCATTCTTTTTGGCACCACGGAACGCACTGCAAACTTTGAAAAAGGTCTATTGCAACAATGGGGGTGTGTGGTAGTTCTAGCCAAGGGATGGACATTGTACAAGGACAGTTCAAGGTCAACCGGGGACTTTTATTACTTCAGAGGAAATAAAAAATCAAACAAGCACGAAACTCTGTGAGTTTCTTAAAATATTCACTGGGCATGACTTGGCACCACTGCCATTGTTTTGGCATCTCCTTGATTCCTTTGGAGAAAGAACTGGGCTGCATTTGTCGCCTGCTGTCGTCCTTCACCAAACTGTTGACATCATTTGCGCACTCTTGTCTGTAATATAATTTGTTCCACATGCTGTGGTTGCAATCTTCTCAAAATTTCAGCCGGTGTGACTTTATCCCTCACCAGAAATTTGATTATGCACCCCTGCTCCACAGCTACAGACAAGTAGCTCACCGCCATGCAGGCTGGAACAGCTGCACGTGCTTCAAGTATGCCATTTTGGGCTTAGGTTATTCAATAAGGATTGTATTAACATCCTCTGCAACTTTCATCATGCTACTCTTACTCAGCGATTCCTTATGGACAAAAGTCCCGGTCAACCTTGCACGACCCTTCTAGTGAATATTGATAAAAAGCACTGGGGTTAGTATAAAAAATTCCCAATTTATGCTGATGATTGACGGGTGGTGAGATGTAAAGAGCAGTTGCAATGAGCCTCTCTTGCAGTGCAATATTGGCCTGATAAAGTTTATGAAATGAGCATAGTTTAGCCATTACCCATATGTTTGGTATGGCTTTAATTGACAGTTCCTCTTTGAAAGGCAAAGAGGAGATTTTTATTCGTAAAGTAGTTGTTACATATTTTAAATACTGGCAGAGATCCCCTGGTTTGATGAGCTAGTATGGAACTCTGTGGTAGTATCAATTTAATGCAGAGTGAAAAATAAGTATACAATAGTCAGATCATAAATATTCGACAGTTGTGCAAAGGTTACAGCATCTTCCTTGACGGTGCTGAAATTTTGAATAATTTTTCAAGTATCGTAGGAGCGCTTGGTTTGGTTAATGTCCTCTGAGAGATTAACTACCTTTTGTGAATTGTGTTCGATATTTAATATGTAATTTCTATGTTAAGTGTTGTTCCGTGTTACATTCATTTCCAATGGGTTTGCTTATTTGTTTTATCTACTTAAGTTTCTGAGTGCATTTATAAGGGTTTATTTTGATGCCGATAAGTAGCGTGTACCCTGTATGGGTCAGCTGGACCTAACTGTTGTATATTAAGTTCTAATGATGTCTGGTGTACCTTAC